CTTCCTTCCTTCCTTCCTTCCTTCCTTCCTTCCTTCCTTCCTTCCTGTTTTCTTGCTATTCACAATGGAATGACTACAGACTCAAGTGTACATAATCAACCAAACAATAATAATTCAAGCTCTGGTTTGTAGCGTTAGCTGATTCTCATTGTGTAAATACTTCCACCAGACCAATTTCAGGCTGCACATGATGTCAGTGAATGTGAAGTGGGAAGAGATTCCCAATATCACACTATAACATAAACTCCCACCAAACAGACATGATAGGTAACAGGAAAATGTGAAATAAGACATGAGTTTTTAGTATCTCCTTCATTTTTAATATAATTTATTTAAGTGGAAGTTACATAAATAGTTTTTTTTTGGTTAATCCTCACCTGAGGATATTTTTTTTCCATTGATTTTCAGAGAGAGTAGAAGGGAGGGGAGAGAGAGAGAGAGAGAGAAACATCTATGTGATACACATCAGTTGGTTGCCTCCCACACATGCCCAAACTGGGGCTGGGGATGGGACCTGCAACCCAGGTACATGCCCTTGACCGGGAATTGAACCTGAAACGCTTCCGTGCTCGGGCCGACGCTCTAACCACAGAGCCACGCCAGCCAGGGAAGTTTGATTTTTAATAATGGTGGTGTTTAACTCTCAAATTTCCTGAATATTTAACATCTATTAGCATGGCAAAAATACAAAAGACTGACCATATGAAGCATTGCTGAAGATGTGGGGGAACTGAAACTCTCAAACACTGCTGGGGGAATGTAAGATGGTACAATCACTTTGGAAAAGTTTGGTCGGGTCTTAAAATGTTAAACATGCACTTACTGTAATCTTTGGATAAATAAGTTCCCAAAGATTCCACTCCTGGGTACTTATTTACCCAAGATAAATGAATTAATGTGTCCACACAAAAACTCAAATACCACTGTTCCCGGCAGCTTTATTCATAACAGCCCCAGACTGAGAACAACCCAAATGTTCCTCAGCTGGTGAACAGCGGGACAAACTGAGGCACGTCCACAGTGGAGCCCCGCTGGGCACTGAGATGCACAGCAGTTTGGAGCGACTGAGACTCACAGTAATTATGCTGTGTGACAGGTGCCAGACCCAAAGAATCAACTCTACTGCTGCAGCTCGCTCTGGCCAGCCACCTGCCATTCATCAAAATGCATCACTAGCCGATAAGCCACATCAGTGCCTACCAATGGGGACACGGCTGTGATCAGGAGCATACTTGGGGGACCTCTGACCTGAGCCAATTGAAACCAGAATTATTCATGCAG